TTTGATTGAAATACGTGCGTGTCGATGACCCGTCCCTTGTTACGAAAAGTTATTGGGATTGGGATAATTGGCCGGTGTTGTATGCTCGAGCTTGTACGTCTATGTTAAATCCCTTGTTACGAAGAGTTATTGGGAGCGAACCGCTAGATGTCTAAGCTAGAGTGACAATCTTGAACCGAACGATTAATTGCCCGACTTTGCTAGAACTTGAATTAATTATCTCCGACTCCCTAGCTTCTCCATCTTTGTTTCGTTATATTTTTAGGTAAATTATTGCTTTTAATTTATTTCTTAGTTGGTAATAATTCAAACCCCTTATTTGATTAGAGTGTTTAGGATTTGTTTACATTTTATGTGTATCAACGTCAAAGCTAAATTTCGAACCGCCTTCCTCGTGAGATCGACCCGGGGAACGAATCATTCGATTCGGTACCACGGTAAAAATAACAATTTGTGCTACAACAACAAATACAATTACTATAATGTAAAAATGTTTGAAATAGAATGAAATATGATAATTACACGTAAAAAAATGATTCATACGGAGAAAAAGTCAAGCTTTCACACGTCTAAGACTCAGTTGAAACTCAGCTAGAGCTTTTGTAAAGCCTATAGAAGAGTCGATCTTTTATGTGGCAACACTTGGCTCGATCGAGAAAATAATAAATTTGAGCCTTTGTGAAGCTAAAAGGTATTTATTTTCGAGCTTATACAATTATTTTGAGTATGTTTGGATATAATTTATTTTGGTTTGGTTTGATTGATTTTGAAAGAGTTGGTATAATTAGTTGATAGTATGATTTTGAGTTTATATTAAAATAATATTTAAAATAAAATAATTAGAGTTGATTTGATGTAAACATATAAATACAAATGATATGAATTGATGATTAATTAAAATTGGAACCCACCGGATACGGGTTGGGTCAAAGTTAACACGGACGGGGCGTTTAATTGCACCACGGGCCTATGTAGTGCGGGTGGAGTGATTCGAGACGAGACCGGTAGATGGGTTGAAGGTTTTGTTATGAATATCGGAATTGGCACTATTACAGGAGCCGAGCTTTGGGGCTTGTTCCAGGGAATCCAGCTGGCTTGGGATTTAGGATTCCGTCAGGTCATAGCCGAAGTTGACAGCCAGTGCGTGCTGAAAATGGTAGTAGGTCCCCGTGAACATTTTGGAACCCATGAGTCCCTAGTCAAATCAATTCGAAGCCTGGCAGACCGCGAGTGGAGCATTCGAATACAACACGTTCATAGAGAGGCCAACTTCGCAGCTGATCATATGGCGTCTCTAGCGTCATCGTTCCCGTTAGGGCTACAGAGAGTCCAGTCACCCCCTCAAGGGCTAGACGCATGGCTTGACCACGACTTCCGTGGGGTGGCTCATCCCCGCCACGTTCTAGTACAATAGCTTTAGGCCTCCGGCCTCCTTTTCTGTACCGAAAAAAAAAAGACATATACTCGTATGAATATGTATGTTTGTTAGTTAATCAGTACACACATAGTAGCGCTAGTGGCGTAATTAAGAAATTTATAATTAATAAAATAAAAAAAAGAAGATTTTATTTTAAAATTTAAAAAAATTCTCATAATAATTATTTTACTTTTTAATTAATATTTATATAGTTATTTATTTAATTAAAAAAAAAAAACCTATGCATATTAAGCACGAAAGTTTGTGGCTTTATTGTAAATTTGTAATCGATGCGTCTTTACTCTGGTTAATCATATAGTTAAGCGAGTAATGCTCCCCTATCCACGGTGGACACATTTTAATATGCCAATCGCTTATATGACATGTACACATTGTGATGTATTTTTTGAACATATTAACATCACTAATGTGTGTATGCCACATAAGCAGTTGACATATTAACATGTACCTACCGTGGATAGGTGAACATTATTAACTAAAGTAAATGTGTGACGCCAAACAATTTCACCCTACTGTCACTGTTGTTAATTTATGTTGTTCAATAGTAAAAAACTCGATAATTATGTGTGTGTTGCTTCAACAGTAAAAAAAATCGTTTTATCGAGTATTTATTGATCAGATAATAACCTACGTGTAATTATTTTACTTAATCCAATAGTATTAAAAAAATTCAATAACTGAGAATTTGT